TTAACACTATTCAATATATAAAATATAATATAAAAAAATTTTAATATCAAGTAAAAAACATAACTATAAAATACATTAACAATAAAATAGTAGAAACATAATTAAAAAAGGTATAAATCATAAATAAGTTTATATACTCTTTTGTAATTGTAAATATTGAAAAGATTCGAAAATTTTTATATGGTTACATCACTAGAGGCACCAAAGAATATAAAAAATGACTCCAAATTTCAAATACAATGCAAGTAATTATTAAAGGTTAAAACTAATTTTTTTCTTGATGTACCAATGACTAAATCACATCTTCCAAATCATATTAAAAATGAATAAAATTTAAAATGAACATCACTAAAATTAATTAGAAGCATTCATAATCAAAATTTAAAACTCTGCAACCAAATATGTAAAAATAACAAAATATCAAGAATGGTTTTATTATGAGGTTTTCATACTTTTGAAATGATATTTCTTTAAGGTTTAGTTAAGAGAATTAGAATATTATTTTAAGAACAAATTCAAAATTTAAGGTTTTAAAAGTAAAGTTGTAAACCAGTTTTAAAGATAGAGTTGTAAACAAAATAAAAATTTTAAATTAGGATTATAGTGTAGAATTAAGAAATATGAATTTAAGGATTATGATTAGAAATTTTTATTTTTTAATTAAGTTAATGGAGTTATTATCTAGTGAAACAAAAAAAAAAGAGAAAATTTAAAATGCTACAAAAAAATTATTATATTATTTAATTAAGTTATTTTGTAATTAAGAGATTTGGGTAGTTTGAAAATAAAACTACAAATTAAATCAATTATATCAGCTTTAAAATTCTATAATTAAAATCAATCGAATTTTATATCAATTTGATTTGGTTTTTAATTAAATTGAATAAGTTTGGATTGAATTAATCAAATTAAATTAGATATGAACACCCCTACTAATATAAATTAGTTAATTTGAGGCTTTTTTCTTTTCTTTTCTAATGTAGGAAAATGATGTGTGCACACCCGGATCCAACACCTGGGTGTGCACACATCATATAACAAAAAAAATGCCCATCACTCGGTCCAATTTTTTTTTTATATGTGGGAGGTGCACACCCGGGTGTTGGATCCGATTGTGCACCAATCATTGTCCTCTAATGTAACATATATGAAGAAAAGTGTATATGATCCCTAAACTTCAGTTTTAATAAAAGAAGTGATGAAAATGATGATGTGTTAAATGGAAGGCCAGTCAGTGACAACTAAGGTGCATAGGACAAATTGGTGTTTTGAACCGGGCCTTTAGGCCCAATGGTTCAACCCCAAGCCTTAAGTGCTTGGGTTAGGTGGTCGGAGCTTCGAGCTCTACCACTGTCGTGAACTCCACCAAAAGCGGCTTGATGGTCGCGCGCCTCATTTGAGGGGGTGGAATGTTCACCCAATTTGAGGATCGAATCCTTAGTTTCATACTAACTTCCTAACCATTATCCTTGTCAAAAAAAAAAAAAATTTTGGCGTTTCGATGAATATAGTTGAGGCTTCCATAGAAAGTGAAAGATTTCTCCTTAATAAAAAATCATGTGAAGGGTAAGACACAATGTTTTTGGATTTGGTTCGGTGGTTGATTTGGTTTGATTATCAGGTTTGGTTGAATTGATTGAACTGATCGATCCAACCGATCAACTAAAAAAACCTTTTTTTTTGACATATTTATTAGATTTTATTATTGTATATTATTTTCATTCTATTTTTAAGAAATAATCATCATAAAATCAACTTGAAAATTATCATTTAAACCATTTAAAATAATAAATTTAATTAAATACATATAATTTTTAATATCTAAACTAACAAATATTAAAATACATAATATAAGATAAGTTCATCAAGTATGATAATATGAAAGAAATATTCAAATACATAATATAAGATAAGTTCGTTAAGTATGATAATAATAACAACTATTAAAATACATTTTTTTACTTTTCCACCTTTCCAGCAAGATAATGTTTCATTTTATTTATTTCCCCTCCTTTGATAAGTTTTTGACAATGCAAACATTTTAATGTTTTTTTCGTGCCTTCAACTTCAACACAATGTTCCCATGCAATATCAACTTTTCCCCTACATGATTGCTGTGATTGTGTAGTAGCAGCAGTTGAATTTTGTCTGAAAGATGAGATTTTTCTATAATTTACATAAATATTCAATTATTAAGAAAACCTCCAAGAATTTAAGAATGATAAATAAGAATTTAAAATCAATACATTATAGATTAAAGAAAAATAGAAACAAGTATCACAACAATTGTATATATTGACTTGATTATCACAGCATCAATGCATTATATATATATATATATATATTTCAAATCTTACATCTATATTAATTAATAAAAATTTAATTCCTATAAACAATTAACAATCACATAGAACATGTAAATTTAATAATTAAATTCAAGATAAAACTTAAATTCTTACCTACTAGAAACAAATGCTATTCTGTTATGCTCCAGTGAAGAAGAAGAGGATCTGTTTTGCTGTTGTTGCTCAGTTTAGTGGATGAAGGGGAGGAAGGTGCTGCTACTTTGTTTGATGGATGAAGGAGAGGCTGTTTCTGACTTTTTGCCCACTGGGAAGGAGAGGAAGGTGACCAATAGATGCTTTGTTCGATGCTGCTACTCAGTTTGGTGCTGTTGCTTTGTTTGATGAAAAGGAAGCTACTGTTGTTCAATGGAGGAAGGCAACGAAGATGAGCCGTGAAAGGCTAGAAGAGATTGCCAACGATGGTGGTGGAGAGCAGATGCAGATTTGTTCTGCTGCTGCTGCTGCTGCTCAGTTCGGTACTTCGGTGCTGCTGCTTTGTTTGGCGAAGGAGAAGCTGTTGTCTGGTGGAGGAAGGCAAAGGAGATGAGCCGCAATGGTGGTTGAGACTCTTGAGAGCAGAGAGGCCGGGGGAGGAAGGAGGATATGTTCTATTTGAAGTCTAGAACTTTCTTTGTGTTTCTATTTTCTACAATTTTTTTGGACTACCGATGTAGAGTATGGTTTTCTTCCTTTTTTTTCGGTTTTGATGTTTTTTTATTTGACCTTAATTCTAGTTTAAGAAGTTTTTATATAATAATATTAAAAAGGTGGGATAAAATAGGTATATTACTTTGAAAATGAAAAAAATGAGTTAATTGGAGAGATAGTGCAACCCGATTGGTTCAACGGGCCAAACAAGCCAAATAGGCCAGACTGGTGCGATGGGCCTACTAGGTTGAAACGGGCCAAATACTAAAACAGGTTGAGGAAGGCAATTGGCCGGTTTTCAAGCTTAGGTCTGATTGAACTGATCCAATCGACTGGACCGGATTGGGTATTAAAGCAGTGGTAAGAAGTGCACAGTGTGTTTATAAGAAAATTATTGAATACTACTCAATACTCGTTAAGTATGTATTAATACCATAATAAGAGTTTAACTGATTAAAAAACTAAAATTTTGAAAAAAAAATTGAAAAACATAATTGTTCGTCAATGTCTTTTAATTGTTTTGATGACCAATTGATACCATTTTTTTTTTTTGTGTGTTTTTTTTTTCCACGATTGTGATGCTTAATTGGATATGAACGGTAAAAGGGACAGCCCAGGTTATTAATTCAGGTAAATTACACTTATTTTTTATGTAGTTTGGACCGGTGCACTTCCACCGAATCACAAGAAATATTTGATTTAAGTTAGTCTTCATATTTTGGTTTTTTAATGGTAGAGGATATATGTGAAGGAGAAGCTTATTTTTTGTTTCATAATTTAATCATTTGATGTAAAGAAATAAAAATTTAAATTTATATAAATAGTAATTGAACAAGATAAACTACCATAAAACAACTACGATATATTAAAAGTTTTTTGAAATTGATATTTAATTATATACTATAGTAAAGCAATTATT